TCCTCAAACGACTTTGGGAATATATACGGTACTTACGTTTAAGTTATTTTCAAAATATGGTATAATGTTTAAATAATTTTTAATCCTGTAAATAGTCAGAAATACCCTGATATTTTAATACACACCTTTCTTGTTTACATACAAACAAATGTAATCTGAATATCACATACTTACTTAAAGATAACTACTCACATATCTACACGTAACAGAGGCTCATGAATCTCAATACTCACTAAGTCGCACTGCTTTGACCATTTTCGGCCAAATTTGAGCTGAATGACATTATTTTAACAATACTCGTATTCCAGTACAGAATTTGGACCTTTATTCAATTCTTGTTTTACTCCTGTGGTTCATGTTTTGCTAACGATTTTCAAGAATTGTTCTTATTTTTTTACCTTGTATTAATTGGATTTCACTTTTTGACTGCATCCAGGCTCTATGCCCATTGTAAGAGCAAATTGTTCTTACAATTTTTCCTGATTCTTGGTTATGTTTTTATGTTTTCCCGATCATGACAATGAGCATACGGCTTGTATGACTGGTCGGCAGGGGATGCTTACTCCTCCATGGCACCCGATCCCACCTCTGAATATTGAGGTCCGTGTTTGCTCTGCTCCAAATTTGTATCGTTTCATTGGACTTTCGAGATTGAATGCTGTTCGTTATCTTCATATTTCATGAATTTATTTTTATTTTGCTATTTTCTAGTTAACTATACTCCAAAGACAACATTAATATTGCTCTCAATTCGATTAAAACTGCATCCTATCTAATTCAGTATGAAAAATTCAATTGAAAAGACAGAAATACAGACATAACTTCGGTCAGAAAAGTTCATTTTACCCATCACATGTGAACTAAAAGGAAATTTAAGATAACTGCTAAAAATTTCTTTCCTGTCACCAAAATGAAACATCCGGATATGGTTTTGTCACAATTCAAGATTTACACAGATAAAGTTTCTTTTTTCCAACTTATAGGCTCTTTTTTAATCTATAAAATGTGATGATAACGAAGAGCAATCCAGCTCAAAAAGTGATAATACAAATTGAAAATACCAGACGTGGGATCAGGTGCCATGCAGAAGAATCCTTGTTATCAAATCACGCCCGGCTTAAACCCTTCTTCAAGTAAACGTAATATTGTACAGAAAAATCAGTACGAAAGCAAAAGCTTTTCAATTTCAATTTTAGTCGTTAGTTTTCTATCAATGTTTATATCTAGTGGTAAATCCAAAAACGAAACATATGTGTTAGATTCTGTCTGTGATATCTATTATTCAGAGGGAATCCTTCTGGATCCGTAATAAAAGACATCACAGATATCCCGGAAATATATCGAGGCAACGTGTGGAAAAAATGAAGAATTGTAAAAGGTCACCGATACATCTGAACGTTGAAATAAAGACCACAGCAAGAGATTACCTTTTTATGTCAAAGACTTCAAATAAATTATGCTAAAATACAAAAACTGCTTCAAATGCTTCAACTTATGTGAAAAAATTAGAATTAATGTTTTTCTAAAAAAAATATTTGATTTTACTTTTTTTTTTCTTTCTTTTTTTTTTTTTTATACAAAATAAGTTTCTAGATGATAGTCACAAGATATGTATTTATGTGACGTTAATGGATTGACATTTTTCATCGGGACTTGTCTAATGATCCTATTAAAGGTGCATAGACACAGATATGAAGTTTATATTTTCTCAAATTTTCTTTATACTATCACAACTTATATGTTGCTATAGCATTTCACACGAAAATAAAATTAAAAACTTATTTAATCTGGAAATTATTGAAACTAAGAATTTCGGGAGGCGTTTGATTAACACATCCTTGCACTTTCACAATTTTTAACTTTATCCTTAATACTTAAGAAAAGTAGCAATTTTGTTGTGTATTAATGAATAATATCACATCTATAATCCAGAAAATTCAGAGTAAAAATGTGCGAAAGCAAAACCCACTCACTTAAATATTGTCAGCCCGTGCTCAGTGTTGTGTAGTTGTGTACAGAGTTTAACAAATTGAATGCACCCGTGAAACATAAACTGTTTTTGTAAACAGGGCACGAGCTCTGTTGTTGTTAATGTTTGTGTTCAATCGTAAATCTCTGCACGCACCACTGACTGACAATACTGGTGAGAGGATTTTGCTTTCTACATTTCTACTCTGAAATTTCTGCATTATAGTTTTAATATTTTTCATTAATAAACTTCAAAATTGCTACTTTTCTAAAGTAATAAGGATAAAGTTAAAATTTGTGAAAGTGCAAGGATGTGTCTATCAAACGCGTCCAGAAATTCGAAGTTTCAATAACTTAAAAATGAAATAAGATTTTTATCAAATTTTCGTATGAAATACTACAGCAACATATAAGTCATAAAATTATACAGAAAATTTGAGTAAACATTAACTTCAAATCTGTGTCTAAGCACCTTTCACAAGAAATATATATATATATATATATATATATATATATATATATATATATATATATATATATATATATATATATATATATATATATATATATATAATGTGTGTGTGTGTGTGTGTGTGTGAGGGTGGGTGTGTGTGTGTATCAGGCTTTGGGCGAATTACATTGTAAAGTAATGCATTACATTACCATTACTTTAGCAAAGTAATGCATTACCATTAACATTACTTTTGGAGGTTTTCAAAAATAAAAATTCAAAACTTTGCAACGTACTACATACATCCCACCCCTTCAGAACTAAACATGATAAATTATATAATTCAAATTTAAAGTACTTGTATTTATTTCACTGTATATAATTAACTGTACATATCTTTTTATTATTCATAGGAAGTTTTCAATTGCTGATAAGATAAAAAGATGTACAATATGCAGTTTTCGTGTAATTATTGATGTCATAAAGCAATTTTAACTTTTGGGGCAATTTACTCCCTCCCCAAAACTGAAACTAAACTAAATAAGACATATTAAGATTATTTGGATCTAGTACCTTAAGTTATGATAGAAATTAAATGCATTGAAAAAACTTGTAAAAAGGGTCGGATAGTATGTACATTTTGCTCTTCGAAAAGTAGAAATGCCTGTCTCCTATTCCTTTTGGTGCAATGGATTTGTCATGATTAGCTTAAGCTAGACCAGCTCAATTAATGTTTCATAAACACAGTCAGAAGAAAGGGGCTGGTTTTTAGAATACTTCTCAAAACAAAACATTGTTTTAATTGTTACATAGCCGAAGAGGCATTGTTTTTTTTTCATGACACTCTATTCAAAAGGTGGCAATTATCAGTTAACAGTGTACATTAATTATGGTGTGTCTCATACCGGAAATATTTTCAAAGGATATTTATTTAAAAAAAAAACTCTTTAAAATATTCTGATCTAAAATAAGTACGAAAATTTAATATGTGGTACTTGTACTTTCAACAGAATAAAAATGTATTTAAGTAGATACAGAGAGTTTATTTAAATAGGTTTACTTTTTTCATTCATTCCTTTTATTAAAATAAATAAATCTAAACAATAATTTCCATGTCCAATTTCAATTTTTTAAAATAGGTATATACAAAATAATGCTTTGTAATGCTATGTAATACCAGCATTACTCTGGATTTGAAAAAGTAATGCATTACATTACCATTACATGTAATGCAATTTTTTGGCATTACACATTACTAGCATTACTTCGAGTTCAAGTAGTGCATTGCAATGCATTACCATTACCTTTAGCATAACCCCAAGCCTGATATATATAAGTGAATCTAATAAAAATTTCTTCTAAGTCATTTTCTGAAAGAATGGACGAAATATTATTCGTTTCATTTCATTTTGATTAATTTTTCATATATTTTCATTTCAGAAACACTGACATTGACTGGAAACAGTTTTTATTACAATCTATACCATTGCTTACTCTCTAAAATCAATGATTTGCAGCGTCAAGTTAACTAATCTGAGAACATAAAACTATGTAATAAGGAACTGTTGGCTGGAATTCTTTGTTTGATAGGTATTGCACGATTCAACTAGGATGTTTCTCAGAGACTTTTGTTTTTACGATTATATACATTTTTAGAGACTAATTTAGATGAAAGCTTTTAAGAGCTATTCACTGTAGGTAGAGGGTAAACATCAAATCGCTTTATGTTATTAAAACCATAGCAACCATTGCCAACCAATAAAAATATATCAAATTTCTTTCTTAGAATATGTTAAAAGGATCTTTGTTATTAGTTTCATTTCAACCTTTATTTGCTTTTTTTGGGGGGGAGGGGGGGAGTGTATGACTTGAATGAATGAAATTATTACTTTACAATACTTATTTCCCATAGTAACGTATGTAATAGTTGGTTACCCAAATATGGTTATCAAATTTAAATGTTCAAAAATGCTATTTCTTATCTTTATGGCATGTTGCCATAGTTACCATGACCCACAACAACAAATATTTACCTGATATAAGTTTATGGCATCGAAGACTTTTATAATAGAAAGTTTGGAGAGATTCTTGGACTACTTGTATGCTTGCCATGCTCCTATATATACAGGTCTAGGCGGTATAATCGATATTTTAATGTTTGAACTTTTTATTTGCATATGTACTTTTCCATTAAATGTAGGACCTGGTGTTTGAAAATTACTTGTGTTATCCTCCAAATCGGAGGATAACCTATCCCACAATGCAATGCAATTTTCCATATATGGTAAAAAATGGCCACCGTATTGATTTAGCTATCCTCCAAAATCGGAGTCCGCCCAGACCTGATATAAGATTTCGAGTAATTACGGAGAATGGTTCTTAAGATGCATTCGACCTTTTGCTTCTTTACCGTCCCATCTACCTCACTCACTTTTCCTAACTGTTGGAATTAAGTACGTTTTTTTTTGAAATATCAAACATTGATTTCTTTCTCTCAATCGCCCTTTGGAATTTCGAAACGATACATTCCTTCGTAATAATCTATAAATAAGTAAGCAAAACAATTAATTCCTGTATAAATTGCACTTCTTGCAACAAAATGCAGAGAAGACATCTTTATTTTGAACCTGATTAAGGGTCTTAAAAACAACAAATTACAAACAAGTAGTTTATAAACAATACAACTTTTAAAAAATCTCTCCCAGAATTTCAGTGTTAATTACATCCCGTCATATCAGTGAAGTTCTGAATCAGGGCTGGTGATGTTCCAGGGTGTTAGGAAAGTACGCCTGCCAGAACCATCAACAGGAAAAGAAGCAACGTGTTCACGTAAACGATGAATCCTGCAGCGGTAATAGAAATAACAAATCATAGTAAACAAAAAAAAGGGGTATTGAAGGTTTAAAGTTCGAAGGAAATTGGATACCTGAACTCTCTGATGGTAGGCATGGATTCCCTGCGTACCCTGAGGAGCAATCACAGTTACCGGAAGCTAAGCAGACTCCATGGTTGCACGCGGTATTATTTCCAGTGCAATTAAACGCTATAAATAAAACAGAATAAAAAAGGTATTCAAAATTATAAGCATTCTTAACATAAGATTCGTTGAAATCGATAATTTAAATACTTTTTTAGTCTATGAGTAATTCTGTATTTTCACAAAAAATCGTTTATAAAATACATGACTTTTAATGCAACATGGCATGTTTCCCTCTCTCTCATTTTATTTTATTTACTCATCATGTAGAATTAAATGTAAAAATATGAAAGTGATCAAGCTCATAAATCCACTAAAGAGTACGAAATTCGTAAACAGGGCAAAATCACGGACCCCTGGAACACTAGAGATGGGACCAGAGGTATAGGAGGATCAAGTAAGCATCCCCTGTCGACAGGCCACATCCGCCGTGAGTCCTGTATATTGATACCGGCCACATCCGCCGTGAGTCCTGTATATTGATACCGGCCACATCCGCCGTGAGTCCTGTATATTGATACCGGCCACATCCGCCGTGAGTCCTGTATATTGATCAGATAGACGGAGTAATCTGTTGTCAAAATTAGTGTAAAAAGTGACCCACCAATCGACCTGAATAATGCCAGACTAAATACGACCAAACGATAAGTTGTATTTGGGGAAAAAAAAGTCATTATAACGAAAATGCTGACTTTAAACGAAGTTGTTGAAATCCATGTTACTTCAACTTAATTTTCAGCGGCCAGTCTTGGTTTAAAACAATGATCGTACTAGGAACATATTTTTTGTATCGAATCAGTGGGGAGACATAATCAAAATAAGCCTGTGAAAGTGGAATAATCGATAGTGAAGATAATATTGCTAGAAATTGATCTATTATTTGGTTACATTACCAAAAGTAACACCTAATTGTGTTATTAAAATTTACTCACTTTCGCAAGTTGTTCCTTGATAATAATGGCTGCAATTGCATGTCGAATTATTACAGGTGCCTCCATTCAAACAATCATCGTTGTTGTTGCAAATAGCTAGTAATAAACAATTTGAATATAAAAGGTGGTAATAAAGGAAAGATAATTTTGTAGGCATTATAAAGACTGTTAAACTTACCAAATGCAGTCGGCAGAATCCAAAACGTCAAGACTACAGTTGTAAGACACAACAGCAAGAATTTAACATGGCGTTCCATTGCTAAATTATCTTCACTCATTAAAGTCTTCTGTTAAAAAGTTTGTGAAGTAAATTTCAAGGCAATTATGATTTTATAGCAATTTTAATTCTTTACCAAAAATAAATAAATGAATGAATAAATAAAACAAAACAAAGCATCAACAACAAACGACAACAGAAGCAAAAACAAACAAAAATAAATAGATAAACAAAACAAAAACAAAAACAAAGCATCCAAAAAAATCAATCAAATACAAAAAAAACAAAACAAACAAACAAACAAACAAACAAAAACAACAAAACAAACAAAAACAAAAACAAAGACAAAAACAAAAATTCAAAAACAAACAAAACATAAAAAAGAGTTCTTTTTTTTAATTTTTTAAACTTACAAGATATAAAATGTATATCACGAAAAAGTCATTGTTCCTTAATTATAATTGTGTTTTTAAACATTCACTTTTGCATGGTTTGAAGAAAAAATACTATTAACAAAATACCCTCCATTTCCGTATAAATTGCTTTAGCCATTAAAAAAGGCAGGTCAACAGTGTTATTTTTATGGAAGGTAGGTGATAATTTTATTCAATATCACATATTACAGTTTTTACAAAAAGTTAAGAATTCAGATAAAAGAATGACACTACTTTCCTTTCTCATCCAGTCGACTTATATTCATCTTTCCCGAGAAATAAAATAAAAATATATATTCGCCTTAAAGACTGCAGGTCATAATGAAAAAGATAATAAGAGGTAATCATGTTCAAATTCCAATAAAACAATATCATTTGAGAGCAGCTCCTGAAATCATGTGACATGAAGGACTAAAGATCCTCTGTCAATCTGACATACCCACCGTGAGCTCTTTATTTTGATCCGATAAACGGAATAATCCGTAATCAATCTATTAAGAAAATACTAACTCGACAATTTCTAGTAAAAAAAAATTTAGTTGTTAAAGTTCATAACGTCTTTCTTTAGTAAAAAATTGAATTATTAAACAGATGAGTAACGTCCTATTTCGAGTTCGGTGGGATATATCAAATGGAGGTATGAAATACGCCTTTTCTACACTTTATACAACAATTCTTCACGATAAATTAAAGAGCAAGCTTTTGACATCATAGACAACCGTTTTTTCAATAAAAAAAGGAACTCGTAAGTTTGCCTTATCACTCTAATTGTAATTAATTATAACATTATACTATACATGAACACACCAACTTAAAATAATATTTTGGAATATCACAAATAACACGGAGAGAAAGAGAGAGGATCCGCTAAAAATATTCCAAAATATATAATGAAAATAATGCACCTTTAACTTTTTAATATTGAATTATTACCATTCACCAAATTCCCCATCCTGGGGGCGTGTCCATTTATCCTTACTTAATGCATATATTAATTCATGATGACTTCAACCAAACCCTTGAGAGAGAGAGAGAGAGAGAGAGAGAGAGAGAGAGAGTATTAGCAATATTTAAATTGTGAGGGAGAAAAAATATGAGGCAAAGGAAGGGATTGAGGATCCATTGTGCCCTTGAGTGGGCTTTATCAGCAGTAGAGAATCTGGCATTACTAAAAGAAAAGATGGAAAATTGCTACGAAAATGAACTCAGAGGTTTGATTGATTAGTCTTGGGGCAGGAGTTTGGATCTTGAAATAAGTTATATTAAAAAATCACTTTCATTATAACTTTGACAGAACTGTAAGGTAGAGGTATAGTGATAGCTACATGTATATTACTGAGAACTGTTATTCAAATTAAGAGATTATCAGGCGAAATGTTGGAAACGTACTAGAAGAGAATGCACAAAGTTCATGTTAGCAAAAGAGCACAAACTAGTGATGGAGTGCACACAAAAGTTTTGAAGATATATCCCCCCTCATCAAAGCTAATTAGGAAATAAAGTTCGCGTTTTCGTTAATGATGCAGAATAACCTCCTCGGTCTCGAAATCTTCAGAAGCTTTTACATTTCAATCAACATTTCGAGACCGAGGAGGTATCCTGCATCATTCACGACAACAAGAACTTTATTTCTATTCTACTAACAGCTCTAAAAATAAAAAAACCAAAATCAGTTGTCGATTTTATTGCTAAATCAGTAAAATAATGGAGTATAAATGTTGTGGGGAGGTCTATGGAACAGACCCATTTAGCTATAAAAACCGACATTATGAGCTTCTTCAGGCAATACATATACATACAGTTTAGATGGCGGAAAACGAGAAATAGATATGGCCTAAATAAGTATTAAGTCAAAAATTCCTTTCAACTGTACAGTCTTGATATGTGTTTCTGATCTGGTAATTTTTGGATGACGTTAGTGATTTATTGGAGAATAATGTCCGCGGCATTTCTTTGACCTCGGCAATAACTCTAGTAGAATTCACAGTATTTTAGGCCAATGGGTTTTATGACAGACTCAGAATTTAAGGAGTGCTTGGAGAAAGCGAAAGAAACTCAACTGTTCGTCTTCCAATACTGTATATATATATATATATATATATATATATATATATATATATATATATATATATATATATATATATATATATATATATATATATATATATTTACTTGGAACGGAGGGAGGTAGATTGCTTGCTTGGGTCGGATTCGAAAATTAAAATCCTGAGTAATAAATTCCGATTGATGAGGGTCTATTATGATATTTTTTTTACATTGTTTATAGAAATGAAAAAGGACAGCTAATGCTAAATGATGGCATTTCCTTATTCATTTATCGTAATTGCAAAGAATCTCTTCTGTGTCTGCATTTTCTGATGAATAATGTTGGTCATTGCTGAAATTTTCATGAAAGTTTCTAGTCTTTAAATGACTGTTAAGTGATACACGTATTATAATGTTCATTGTTTACCTGTTTTGACTGCAAACATGCTCCAAGCAACACAAAGCTTATAAAGTTTTAGATGGACCGAATTTGATTTGAATTATAAATATTTATTATTACACAAACTGAAAGCCATGTTTAAGTATCATATTATTTGAAACACATTCATTATTTATTGTAAGTGAGTCAAAAATATTGAATTTCATGCATATTAAACATTATTAAATTCTGTAATTCGAGGTAAAGCTCAATGATTTTTATGTCAAATTGTCAAATTACTATAGATTTTTGTCTGCAGGCGTCCTATTCGTACACAAAGAAGTAAACCATGTTACCAGAATATTTTAGCGGGCTTGTTATTTGACTATTCAATGTTCTTTTTTTTTGTATTGTTAACAAATTACAATGACGAACATGCACACATGTATATCTTTATGATTATTTTCATTTTCTTAAATATCCAGATCATGTACCAGGTTTTTTTTCTGTTCCTTCCCCCTTTAATGTGCATAGAAAAGAGTAGCATCAGGACTGCTGCATGAAAATAAAACAAATTATATATGTTCGTTACAAAAATTATATTTAATCATTAAACAAATTCAAATCAAATGTTAGTACTATTTTTCTCATACCAGATTAGAGATCTCAGTATTTTGGAATGTTTGTGCTCCAATAAATTTAAGAATTATCGTTTCATTTGACACATGTTTTTGTGTTTCGATCAGACATTTGACCCACAGAATAGAATAATTTTTTATTTCATCAATAAAGTTATACTGGGAATACTTTAAAAATAAAATAATGTAATTATCATAATATTTCACGTTTTCATTAGGATTTTCTATTAAATATGAAGTAAATATTGTCAAAAATTGAATTTTAAAGGTCAATTTTGGAAACATTATGAAGATAACTTTAAAAAAAAAACTGTTTTAAAATTGACAAATTACAATTCAGTATTCAAAATGATCAACATTAAGAACAAATTAGAATAAAGAAGAAAATTTCATTGTAATAAGTGTGATTTTCTTCTAATTCTAGTCTATTAAACGAAAAAGTTTTGCAATATTCAGTGAGTGTTTTCAGAGAAATACCACTGAGATTTTCAGAATGTTATAAAATAATAAGCAATTGCTACAGAACTAGACGTGTCTTCAGTGACAAATGAAGACGGAATTAATGCCAGAGTTTAGTGTATAAGAATGTACATTTTCTAAAATGCTGAATACAAGTATGTATCTTTTACACATTATAAGTGTATTTGTTCAAAGTTTCATTTTTTTTTTATTCCTGAACTCGGTCGGTATTTGCATAAAATATGCATATTTCATTGATTAAATTACAAAGTTTTGAAATACAATACATATAAACATTAGCTAAGCATATAATAACAGGTACCCGGAATCTTATTGTGTTCAATATATGTCTGTAAAATTTCATAATTTTTGACACCTTATTTCGATCGTCTCAAGCAACGGTCCGGAATCCGCTTCTAACTCTCTCCTAGAATGGGAGAGTGTTGTACATTTTGGTCTGGTTTACGACAATGGGTGGACTCAAGCTCGAGATATGCGTTAAACATACATACATCGTTGATTAAATTGCTAAGTTTTGAAGAAAAATACACAAAATAAAAGACATGTAGGTAATGCAACACTTGGTATATGATCTCTTGATATTATCACTTCTGTAATGATAATGTATGATTTTTCAGCCAATCAATACATTTGTTGTTATTGCGTGCTATTTGATAGAAAATGGTATGAAATTACAAATATACAGTGTATTAGTTTCTCAATCATGGATTGTTCAATGTAAAAAGAAGCACTTTCCTATTAAGTATGCATAAAACAAAGCCAACGAAAGTATACAGCAAAACTTTCCTGCACACATCAAGGCTTGTTTCTATTGTCTTTTATTAATTTCCAATCTGAAGTCGAAAATGATTACATGAAAATTAATTTGCCATGTGATTATTTTCAACTTCAGATCGAAAATTAATGAACGACACAGAGTTGTATGTCACTATCTCTGAAAAAAGCTTTTAAGCTAGTAAAAATTACAGAAAAAAGTATAAATTAAACACCATTGTTTCAGAATGAAACAAAGCTTTCGCAAAATAAACAAATAAATAAAACATTTATAAAAATATAGATTCAATATCATGCCTGGTTTGCATAGTTATATATATTTTATATATACAGTGTATATATCATATATATTTTACAGAGTAGTTCCGGATAGTGAGGATAAAATGGATATCTTTGTATTGTGAATTTCTCTGTGCTTTCTGTCACATTTCCTGACGATAGTTATTGTGAAAAATATGGTACACTTTGTGTTGTGTTTTATTTCGAGTTCACTCGGATATATCGAGTCGACATTTGAATGGAAGTAATTATTGTTAATTGATAAAACGTCGTAGATATATCTGAATGTCGAGTTGAAGTGTTTTCTTCTTTTCGTGTAGAAGTTTTTGAATAAATTCTGCTTCATAGAAATATAAAAACATGTCTACGATACAACACAAATGTAATGTAATGCAATGTAAACAATACATATAGTGAGCAGGAAAAAAAACGGACCCAATGAAACACAAGAGATGGGATCGGGTGCCTAGGAGGAGTATGCATCTCCTGCCGATCGGTCATATCCGCGTCAGCCCTCTGTATTAATCAGGTTAATGGTGCAACCAGTAGTCAAAATCAGAGTCAAAATGGCAGAAAAATTGATAAGAACATATCAGTAAAAATAAGACCCAACGATAGGTTGTATTTGCAATCAAGTCCTAATATCGATCATACAATTTGCAATATGCCACTTTCAAAGAGATTGTTGAAAGCTCTGTAACATTAACTTATTGATCAATAGCCTGTCTTGGTTAAAAAATTGATCGTACTCAGAACATGGTCTTGCGTATCGAATCATTTGGTAGATATACTAAGTAAACGCTACATATAGATGATATAGAATATCGCTACATAATCAGGGAAAGCTGACAAGGAATAGGCTAAAATCATCACGTTTGTCAAATTGTTTGGCTGTTAATTGGCCATTAACTTCTTTAATCAATTAAATCTCCAAATTTGAAGCAAATATATAACGGACACTGTGGTGTCTTTAATTTTGAGAATCGATTCGATACATGAAAGAAAATAACTACGTCGATTCATCTTAATGTCGAATTGAACGCCACAACAACAGCTTTTGAGTAAATTTTGCTTCCTTTATAGAATATAAAATCATGTCAGCTAACAAAGGAGCACAATTAGTGCCCAACGAAATTTTAACAGATTGTTGGGATACTTGGTCTGAAAAGACTGCATACACGTTGTCAATGAGGAGGGCCAGTATTTTTTTAAACTATCAATTTCAAAGTACTTGTATATAGAATCAGAATGATTTTTAACAAACTTTACAAATGTCCAATCATAAGACCTGAACATTTTCGAGTCCATTTTTATTGAAGAAGCAGGTGTCCATGATTAAAAATATATATATATATAATGAATAGTTATATAAAGCGTAGAAAAACCATACGGTTTGATGCCATTGATTTTAGAACACAATACGTCTGAAGTTTCTCTTTAAGGACATACGCAACGTACCTTACCTACTGATAATTTTTCAAGATATTCTTAATTTAAGATTATAGTGCCATCGGATGTTCGTAGACAAAAAATCAGCATGCATTACCAGGGGTTTTGAAAAGATAACAATTGATGAAAATTCCTGTATAATTCAAAGAAAAATATACAAAAATTACTTAACATGTATTCTAGATGTTTTGTTTATCCAAACTTGTTTTAGAAGAAGTGTACACTAGCATATATAGACATTAAAATGTAGCACATAGTTCCTTTAAGTATTGGAACTCTTCAGCTTCTGGGGAAAAGACAATCAAGTTCAAACTACGTTGCCTATGTCCTTAACAACAGTTAATATTTTTGTGTGGAGTAAAGATAGTGGCTTTGTTGATCATTTATTCGAGCCTGTAATGTACATTTGTTTGTAAGGATTTTTATGAAGATTTAGAATTCAGTATATGTTTAGGTTTACAGTATGAATTTATTCGTAAATAGTGGTGCAAAAACCAGTAAAGAATATCAAGATTTTTCGTATTTAATATCGATATGAAAAATATCAAACTCTATCCAGTTGTCTAAGTAATATGGCTTTTTGTCTGGATTTATTTCACATAATTAAAATATTATCTCTTCCACTGACATACCCTAACAAAAATAAACATGGAAAGCACCTTTGATTTACTTTTCATACACTAGAATCAGACGAACAAAACAAAGATAAAAATAATTCCCTTAAAAAATTTGAAATATATTAATAGCACTAGGAATGGAAATTATATAAGATTTGTTTTAAAAAAAACAGTACTGCATACCTGTTTAGACACTTACCTTCCAATACTAGTCTAATTTACAGACGGCGAAGCTTTTTCTTCGAATTATGATTTTCTGCGCAGACTCAATGTAGGTTGCACCTGCACCTTTCAATATATGTGATCGATGTAGTTAGGACGCTACTTTGGTTGCTTGACTTTACATCAATCCTTTTTTTATTTGATGCTATGAAAACAATCACATCTAAAAGAAATGAATATAAATAAATTTACGGGTAAGAAGCGATTTTACCGAGCTTCTCATGGTCAGACGAGTTGCACAGCAATGGTTCTTCCGACAACTGTAAACTATATTTGAGAGCAAATATTATTTCTTATGATAAAATATGGCGATAACGAACAGTATTCAAGCTCAGAATCCATTAAAACAATACAAATCGGGAGCAGAGCAAACACGGACCTCCAAAAACATCAGACGTGGGATCAGGTAACACAGAGGAGTGAGCTTCCCTGCTTACCGGTCACACCCGCCGTGTGCTCCTTGTCATAATTATTTTTATCTATGTAAATGTTCCATAATAAAAACCACAAGAATTCTAACCATCTTAAACCAACATGAAATAAACCAACATGAAATAAATTAGGTGAAATTTAAGACAAATGAATTTAATTGAATCTGTATAAATAGAGATAAAATAAATCGACTCTTTTAAATTTTATGATTTCCATCTGATATAGTCAGGTAATTGAATTGATTAAGTTTCGAAAAAATGTCACATTTACGTATGAGTGTGACATTAACATTTGCTAATGTTTTGTCAATCTAACTGTAACATAGTGACTCCGATTTGATTTCCAGGAAAATGTAACAGTAACTAGTAATTAAGGTAGTAAATACGCTGGAAAGATTTGATTCCCTAAATTTAAAAAAAGGTAATGGTGTTGTATAGTGAAACTTACCCCATAGTCAAACTTCCCCTGAAAGACCTGCTTTATAGTGAGTCCCTCCCCCTCTCGGAAGACTGAATACTGTATATAGTTAGCCTTCTTCCTTTTCCGGGGCAATCTCACTATATAGCCTTCCTGGGACTCACTATTTAGCTAGTCTTTTTTTTTGGGGGGGGGGGGGTGTCACTATGTGTGAAGTCTCACTATATGACACCTGCCACGTTTCAGTTTACTGAATAGGTGTCGATACAAACAATAACTAAAGGCATGCGATTTACACCGGCACCAAGGGACTTTAGTTAGATTTTCTTAAATCAATAAAAGATTTTAATGAATTATTATATAGATTCAAAATGCGCATTCGTGAAACATAATCAAATAATTGTCTTTATTATGCTGAAATTTTAAAAGTAATCCTTTATAAAATGCACTATTCTCAAACCATTTTTTTAAAAGTTTGGCTTGCAAGAATAATTATACAAAATAAAAATTGAATTTGATTCAGCTTTTAGCACACTTGCTAGTTTTTCAGGATAAACTTTCCCTCTTGGAAGATAGTTTAACACAATTAACATTGATCAAGGCAAAATTTAGCAAAGCGTCCTTAAAACGTAACCTAAATTTTCATTTCACAAATCTTTCTTCATAGGACAAGGTATGGTAAAGGCCTAATTGGCCCCTTATTTGAAATATAAATCAAAATGCTGATATAATTGTGATACATGTAGTTTGCAATTAAGAACTTGAAATGACACTTATTTTCTTACCAGGATTGATTGTAATTCAAATCATACAGGGAGCGCTGGGCCACAAGAAGGTGACAAAGTGGAACATTTATCATTTAAAAACAGAGAAATACATTGTTTTTACACTGGCATTTTCTTTCTGGAACAACAGTGCACAAATGCAAATGGAAGTGCAAAAGTGAAAAAAAAATGTACTTAGTACTTTTTGCAACTGTATGATTTGAAAATTGAACTGACATAGTAGCATTCACAAGTAATATTATGGTTTAAAAACTGGATGTTTCTATTTTGAGCAATTTGTTTACTTTGTACAGTTTAATGTGTAAAGCTTTTTACTTTACCATTCATAACGTAAATATTGTTTGTGCTTAATTATTTGAATTATTTGTATTTTGTGACTTGCCTGATCTGATAGTGTATCGAAAACTTCTACATGAAAAAGAGAAAACACTTGCTGTGGTCTCAACTCGACATTTCGATATAACGACGACGTATTATCAATTAACAATAGTTACTTCCATTCATATGTCGACTCGATATATCCCAGTGAGCTTGAAATAAAAGATACCACAGATTCTGAAACATTTGTTTCGTGTTAAGATATTTTACTAAAAAAAGTTAATGGTAACCTAACAACAAAGCTTTATATAAACGTGATGACTTCAACTTTTCAATCGTCAACTTCCCTTACTTATGTAGCAATATACCCTTATCACCTGCATATGGGGTTTATGTCTCTCAGTTGAATCGATACGCAAGAGCATGCTCTTCGTATGAACAATTTCTAAAACGAGGCAAGCTATTGACAAATAAGTTGATGAAACAAGGATATCAATAGTCTCGTTTGAAGTCATCATTTCGCAAGTTTTACGGTCGATATAATGACCTTGTCAGCACATACAACCTATCATTGAGTCAAATGCTGACTGACGTTTTTCATACTAATTGTTTGGCCATTATTTATACACTAAACTATCTATGGATTTTTCTGGGGGGGTTTTCCGATCATGACAAGGAACACACGGCGGGTGTGACCGGTCGGCAGGGGATGCTCACTACTCCATGGCAGCTGATGCCACCTCTAAATTTTTGAGGTCCGTGTTTGCTCTGCTCCAAATTTGTATCGTTTCACTGGACTTTCGAGATTGAATACTGTTTGTTATCTTCATATCTCATCTCAACTTAAAAATGGTTATACACTAAAATTTAAGTTAAAAATTTGTATACTGTACTGAACATTTATAATATAAGAGGGCAAATTTTAAAATTTTATTATGTCCAGTAAATTTTACATAAAAAGGAAAATTTGATTTGAATTGTTATTAAACAAAGTGTTCGATAATGAAATTTCTTTCAGAAAAGAATTGGTAAAATAACATGATTGTGTTATTCAACGCCTATAAATGTTGATCATATATCAACTAGATATGCTTTTTTATCTGCTTTATTTTGTTTGTGAATTTTTCGATAAAGCTTTCACAAGCAGTGAGGCATTTGAAAAAATCAACAGATAAAATGATGGAAGGGGTTGGGAAGTGCCATAAATTAAATTAAAAATTTCTCTGAGATAAAACAAAGCTTGACTTTTCAATTCAATCCTGTGTCAAGAACACAGAAAAGAAAATTCATAAAATCATATGAAATACTCTTTTTTTTTTAGAGAGAGAGAGAGAGAGAGAGAGAGAGAGAGAGAGAATACATTTATTTTTGTTATTTATGTGCAATGTTTACGTTACATTTAACATAATCTTGGTAATTAGGTAATGATGAAATGTTTTACATTCTTACCTTCTAGATACTAGTAATGTGTGTTTCTTTGACCTGATAAATACTGAATCAAATAATGAAGTTTTTTTAGGAATATTGTTTTTCTTTAGCTTATTCCAGATTTGAAAATCTTGTTAAATAAAAACAAAATGATTTCTTTCAAATTAAAATTATGGCTATTTTGTTTATACTATTAATCAAATCAAAGACTCCACGTTCCTTTTACAAATGTGCTTAAACTTTTTTCAATAAATGTTTATAGTTAACAAAATTTGATGTGTGTTATCTTAATTGTGTTATATAATTTTTTAAAATTCTTTTGGTATCTAATTATGGTCCATCGACATCACTTAAGTACCAGTCCATATAAAAATCAGACAAAAGGTGATACATGAAGGTTCTCAGAATTTGATGATTTTCCACACACAGATTTCTCTTGTACTATGATCCATGTATGTAAAATAAAAAATGTTTTAGTTCATGGTTACTATGGAAACCTGGCAAAAGAAATTTCCCTAGCAACCGGCCAATTTTTCCATGTGGTAGGACAAAAAGTCACCCATCTTTTAAGACTTGAAATGAAATGTAAATATGAATAAAATTATTCCTCTTCACTAGCATAAAAAAGATACACATTTTAAGTGTTTTAACAACCCAACACGAAGATATCAGATTTAAAGTTAGTTCTGTAATAGACATTGGAAGATGTACATGTTTTGCATTTTTTGCTGATTCAGCATTTTTCTTGATTTTGGCAATATTCAAGGTCAAATTAAAATTTGCATCTAAAAATTTCAACTTTTGCATGTATTTCACATAAAAGTACAGGAATGTCTCTGATGAAATCCGAATTCAAACACGTGGGATTTTTGAAAATAAGTGTTCGTTGCCTAGCAACAATAATAGATGTTTTGATAAATAAATAGTGAATAATTGTGCAGTGTTACATAGCAAACTTGTATAAATTGTTATATTAGAGTACTAGAAACAAATTTTAAAGTGATAGAACATAAATCAGACTTCTTAGCAAATTAAAGACTATTGTACAGTTATTTATCTCCATGGCAACAGCAAATTCCCCATAGCAACAAGGCCGCAAAGCTTAATTTTGGCAGATATTCAAGTACAGTGGTAAGAAATGTTTCAAATTTAGTCCTAAAATTGCAGTTTAGCAAAATTAAAAATGTATTACGGACCTCATAAAAGTATTTTTGTTACGCAGCTCTGTTAAGGCTGCATAAAGGGGGCGGGGCCTAATTTATACGGGAAACGTTTACTGTGACATCACACAAATATAGCAATTCCTCACAATAACAGAAAATGAAATAATTTGCGATTCTAAACTGCATAAGAGTAATGAACTACATCAAAACTTACCACTGCATTCATTTTTGTCGCTAGTTAAATCCCATACAGCAAGATATAAACAAGTCACTGATCGCAATGCACTTGTCGACATGACGTCATCATGGTAAAATCTGACGCATTTAATGTGCAGTGAGAGGCGGATCAAGTAATTTTTTCACAGTGAAAAATGCATTTTATTATTAAACAGAATATTATTTGCAAATCTTAGGTAGACCATTAATACAAATCTGAAACGTTTGTTGAGTGTCATTATTTAAAAACTATCGAGAGAATGTATTGAATTAATTCTACCGTGTTTTTGTCTACAGGGTGTGCATGT